CACATTTTTATCAGAATGTCGTTTGTAATTATTGAAACACAAATATATATATAGACCCACGTAAAACATACTTATTCACACACACATATACATACACACACGCACACACATACACACACACGTACACACACAACACGCACGTACATGAGCCCACACAAAAAGTTAAGGGGGTTTAAATGTTAAAAAGTAGGATTTGATGTCTTTTTTAAATTTTACAACGGATTTTGCTTCTTTCAAATATTCAAGTAATTTGTTCCACGTCTTAGGTCCGACGACTCTTATGCTACTATTAATAAGTTTCAATCTGTTTTTTTCAATATAAAATGTTGAGGTATGTCTTGTGTGTTTTAACTGGATTGCGTTACTATAAATAAACAAATTATGAAAATTTTTTGGAATTAAGTTGTTAATAAGTTTAAATATAAATATTGAGATGCATGTGTAATAAATTTGTTTTATTGAAAGTAGTTTTGCAATCTGAAAATATTTAGAGGTGTGGTCATTAAATTTTAAATCGAATAAAATTCTCAAAACGTTTTTGACATTTTAACAGGGGATCTAGCTGATAAGCAGGGCTATTTCCCCATATGATCACGCAATAATGAATATAAGGGTATATAAAGCTTTAATATAAGGGTATGTAAAGCTATAATACAAATCTTTAATATTGTGGAATTAATCTTATTTTTGATTTTATAAAGTATACCTATGAATTTTTTGATTTAAGATTTTCAATGTGATAACTGTAAGACAAATTATCTTGTAGAACTAAACCCAAAAAAGCAACTTGATTGGTTCTGTTTAATTTCACATTGCTGAACACAAGGTCTAGGTCCGAGAAACTATTGGTTAAAATCTTTGGTCCAAATATAACAAAGGCCGATTTGGATGAATTAACCATGAGTTTGTTCATAGAGAACCAATCCTCGAATAATTTGAGTTCATTATTTATGACATCTAAATCTCGTTTAATGTCATCAGAAGAATAAAAAATGTTTGAATCGTCAGCGTTAAGAATACAATTCATCTTTTTTGATAAGTAGGCAATGTCAATTATATAAATCAAAAAAAGCAAAGGGCCTAATACAGACCCTTGCGGGACTCCACACGAAACTTCACGCGTCCCAAAATAATATATATATATATCACTGCATTTTCAGCCTTGATCAGTTTCTGATTCAATTTTTCGGTTACATGTCAATTCGTCCCGTGGCAGTTCGTCCCGCGTCAATTCGTCTCATCCAATTCATCCCACGTCATTTCGTCCCGCGACAGTTCGTCCCACGCCATTTCGTCCCGGTCATTTCGTCCCGGTCATTTCGTCCCACGTCAGTTCGTCCCACGTTAAAATTTCACCGCATATGCTCAACATTCTCTCACATCTGGCTTGTTTTTTTTTTTGTGATGATTTCCAAGCATTTTCTGCTTTGGAGAATGCCGTCTCCTAAACATGTCGATAACGTAACTGAAATTTAAGGTGGCGAACAAGTCTATTGACACTTGTTTTTTTCTTTAGATAATGAATTAAATTCTAAATACGTGTAAAATCAAATGGGGCAGTTTTTTCAGGAGTTTTAAGGAGAAATATTTCATTTAGGATATCAAAAAATACTTGTTTGCCATTTTTTTACATCACAGTATACATTTAGAAAGCTTTAATTCATTGTATTATGCGCACGACTCATTGCTGAAGAAAGAGTGTTATGTAATTATCAGCGCACTACAGCAACAACAACAACACACGTTTAGACGGCATTTTCCCCGAGATCGGGGGTTGCCGTTTGGCTACCTATGATGAAACCGAAATACCCTTCGACGCCATCCACATCTGTCACTCGCCTCAGTATCACTGTAGCAAAATATATATAAATACGAATTAAATTAATTTGGATGTCAATTGTGCTTAAATACTGAAATGGTGTCAATGAAAAAGGCAAATCTACTGCTATATACAGAGGCTTTGAATGTTGGAAAAAACGCAGCAACAAAAATGAAACTGTTGTATGGAGATGTGTTAAGCATGAAAGTCTGAAGTGTAAAGCTTCCCTTGGGACGTCAGGTTCACGTATTGTTAGTCAGCGTCAACCGGATCATAACCATGAAAGTAATAACAGTTTTTCACTTGCTAGAAAGGCTCTGGGCGAAATGAAATTGATGATGGACAATGTAACAGTAACACGGACTTTATCTCAAAATACCGTCATGCAACAAGTACCAGACCACGTTTTAGCCGCATTGCCAGAAAGAAGTGTTTTGAATCGCACACTTCAACGAGAACGACAGAAGCTGCACAAACTTAGAATTTACGGTAACAATATTCCAGCAGCGCATCGGGATTTGCTTTTTAATATTCCCGATCTGTACCACAAATAAGTCTTGTTTGATTCTGGACCGTCCGCCGACCGTGTGATTATATTTGGCTGCAATGAGTTCTTGGATGGTTTAGGTAGGGCAGCACTGTGGTTAGCCGATAGAACGTTTAAGGTGGTTCCACAAATTTTCTTTCAACTGTACACTATCCATTTAACTTAGGGATCCGGAATTAATCCAGCAGCAATTTATTGCTTGGTTAATACTAAAAATGCTGCAACTTATGAGCATATACTTACACAAGTGAGACGTCTACGATATTAGTTGATTTCGAGCGAGCGGCGATGAATGCATTTACAGCTACATATCCAAATGCTACCGTGACTGGCTGTTATTTTCATTTGTGCCAGAACGTTTCAAGAAAAGTAGACGAACTTGAAATGAAATTAGTTTATGAAAACGACGACGATATCAGAATTTATATTCGTTCCTTATCAGCGTACCAGAGGAGGATATTGGAGAAGCATTTGATATCTTGGCCGAAGCGAAACCAGATTGCGAACATTTAGATGAATTGCTTACGTTTTTTGAGCATTCATACATTCGAGGTCGACGAATCAGAGGCAGAGTCGAAAATTATGGACCAGCCCTTTTTCCGATACCTACTTGGAATAAATATGCAGCGGGACGAAACGGAATAGCTCTGACAAATAATATATGTGAATGATGGCATTGCATTCTGCAGTCTCTATTCAACTGTCATCATCCAAACCTCTGGCAGTTTATGGAGGGAATACGTAGTGACATAACAAAGTAGAAAGCTATGTTTCTGCAAGCCAATACCGGAGTCATGCATCATACAAGGAAGGCTTATCGGCAACTTAACGAGCGATTACAGCGCGTCATAGATAATTATGGCAGAACTGAAATTTCAGTGGCTCACATGTCGTTCTCATAAAAAAAACATTTACAGTGTGTATGTGTGATATTTTTTAAGTTTATGACATTTGTGTGTATTCATAATTAATGATGTTTTTACTCTTTCATTATTATTATGCATTGTATTTTAAATAATATGGACAGCAAAAAGCATACGCATACTGGTTGGCTGTCACACTTCTACAGCTTGGTTGAAGCATAGAAGATTTTGAAAAAATTAAATAAATTTAAAAAAAACACAAAATAAAATTTTAACGTGGGACGAACTGTCGCGTGACGAAATGACGTGGAATGAATTGACGTTGGACGAAATAGCGTGGGACGAAATGACGTGGGACAAATTGACATAACGCGAATTTGTCAATATTTCGTATCATACTTTTATCATTATTTTTTTAATTTATTTATATAGAAATCAAATTTTGTAACTACTTTTTTTTATCATTTTTTTCTATACAGAAAAAGCTTTTACCATTTTCAGTGTAGTATGTTATCAACTATTGGTTGTACCTTCATATTCCGTATAAATAAGTTAAAAAACAATGATGAAAATACGATACGAAACATTGAAAAATTGAACCAGAAACTGATCAAATCTGAAAATGCGTGGATATTTTTAACAACTGTATCTACGACAGTCTCAGCCAATATTATATATATATATTTATTTATTTATTTATTGAAAAATTTTTTTTATAAATTCTATTTCAAATGCAGGTTGCAATGAATCGAGAATGTTCGAGATTGGACAACGCCTATGTGTGTGATCTGGGCAAGCCAACTGGTCTATATGAAAGTTTTTGTGATCATTTTACAAATGAATATTATGAGAATATTCAACAAAAAACTATTTCCTTTACACTCTTTCCAAATGAAATGGTTACCAATCACAAATTTGGTGATACACTAACGTTGGTAGATAGAAACCACTTACAAACAGAAAGGCTAGATTATGAAATGCATAAAGATAATTTATGCTTTAATGGGTCTGATTTATTTTCTGACACTGAGGCTTTGATATCAAAGGAACTACAAAAATGGAATAATATTTCTTCAAAGAACATTAAAACGGACGTTTCATATGCTACAGTGGATTTATTATTACGGTTGAACAGCATAGAAATATTATTTAACAATAATGACAAGAAAGCTTCGGATTATCCTACATTGACTTTTTTATTTAGTATAGCAAGTTTAATTACAAATAATAGTAAAATTGATGAAAAACTGTTCGATGAATATAGATCAGTATGTAGCATAAAAAAGACTAGCAAATTTATATATGATAAAAAAAATACCAGAGAAAAAAATAAAATAGCTGGAAAAAATATAGAATTAGAAAAAAAATTAATACATGGATTAAAAAGTGACAATTTATTACAAAGGGATATTAACACAAATGTACCTAAATTTCACAAAAGTAAGGATGATAAGAAAAAAACAGAAACTAAAAAATTCCGGTTGAAGGCAATCAATGAGACAATTCCCAGGACTAAACAGAAGGAGGAAATTATATTTCACGGTAGTAATTCATCGAACCCTGACATATTAATTGAAACAGCAACCACAAACTTACAAGCTACAATAAACTCCAACGAACTAATTGAAAGCTGTTACAAGGAAGACCTGGATGTACATAGCCGGATGAACATAGGCTTTAAAGTATTATATGAGAAAAATGCTGACAGTGAAATGAATAATTCGGTTTATGTGCAGTCAACAATTTTAAAAGTTGATACCAAATATATGGAACATACCGTTGTAGAAGATTCTCCGGTTTTTTCAAAAATTCCTTCTAACGACAAAACTCCATTAGAGTCATCCAGGACCAACGTCGTGGTTGAAAAAAGAATAGAAAATTCGAAAGCAGATATCGACACCAACGAGTTTGTTGAATCCTGCTACACGGAAGGCCTCGACGTACTTAGCCGGATGGACATGGGTTTTAAAGGAATACACGAGAATAATGTTGACGTTTTATTACGATTTGTTGAAGGCGATAAAAAGAAAGTAAGCGAAACATTTTCCAAAGAATTTGCCCTGGCCCACAAAGAAGAATCCAAGCCAAAAACAAAAGAATTGAAGAAGAAAACGAGTCAAGTAGCAAACGAGGATGTATTGAAAATTCCTCCTTATTCTATTTCATACATGAGTATGCATAATGTTTTACTGCATCCGGAGCACGAGAATAAAGAAATAGAAATAATTGAAGATGATCGAGACTTTACCGTTGTAGAAAGAAAGAGACACGCCAAGAGTAAGTTACAAGATGAAGACGAATCGCCTACGTCAAGTAAAAATTCGGAATCGCTGCTGGAATCGAGAAAACCAACCGATGATCTTTCTGTCGAAGAGAGTAAAGTGGAAATAAAAAACTCAGTTTATGAAGAGTCGACAATTTTAAAAGTTGATACTAAATATTTAGAACATACCGTTGTGGAAGATTTTCCGGTTATTTCCAAAATGTTTTCAAACGACAAAACTCCATTAGAGTCATCCAGGACCAACGTCGTGGTTGAAAAAAGAATCGAAAATTCGAAAGCAGATATCGACCCCAACGAGTTTGTTGAATCCTGCTACACGGAAGGTCTCGACGTTCTTAGCCGGATGGACATGGGTTTTAAAGGAATACACGAGAATAATGTTGACGTTTTATTACGATTTGTTGAAGGCGATAAAAAGAAAGTAAGCGAAACATTTTCCAAAGAATTTACCCTTGCCAAGCCAAAAACAAAAGAATTGAAGAAGAAAACGAGTCAAGTAGCAAACGAGGATGTATTGAAAATTCCTCCTTATTCTATTTCACACATGAGTATGCATAATGTTTTACTGCATCCGGAGCACGAAAATAAAGAAATAGAAATAATTGAAGACGATCGAGACTTTACTGTTGTAGAAAGAAAGAGACACGCCAAGAGTAAGTTACAAGATGAAGACGAATCGCCTACGTCAATAAAAAATTCGGAATCGTTGCTGGCATCGAGAAAACCAACCGATGATCTTTCTGTCGAAGAGAGTAAAGTGGAAATAAAAAACTCAGTTTATGAAGAGTCGACAACTTTAAAAGTTGATACTAAATATTTAGAACATACCGTTGTGAAAGATTCTCCGATTATTTCCAAAATGTTTTCAAACGACAAAACTCCATTAGAGTCATCCAGGACCAACGTCGTGGTTGAAAAAAGAATCGAAAATTCGAAAGCAGATATCGACCCCAACGAGTTTGTTGAATCCTGCTACACGGTAGGCCTCGACGTACTTAGACGGATGGACATGGGTTTTAAAGGAATACACGAGAATAATGTTGACGTTTTATTACGATTTGTTGAAGGCGATAAAAAGAAAGTAAGCGAAACATTTTCCAAAGAATTTGCCCACCCTTGCCAAGCCAAAAACAAAAGAATTGCAGAAGAAAACGAGTCAAGTAGCAAACGAGGATGTATTGAAAATTCCTCCTTATTCTATTTCACACATGAGTATGCATAATGTTTTACTGCATCCGGAGCACGAAAATAAAGAAATAGAAATAATTGAAGACGATCGAGACTTTACTGTTGTAGAAAGAAAGAGACACGCCAAGAGTAAGTTACAAGATGAAGACGAATCGCCTACGTCAATAAAAAATTCGGAATCGTTGCTGGAATCGAGAAAACCAACCGATGATCTTTCTGTCGAAGAGAGTAAAGTGGAAATAAAAAACTCAGTTTATGAAGAGTCGACAATTTTAAAAGTTGATACTAAATATTTAGAACATACCGTTGTGGAAGATTCTCCGGTTATTTCCAAAATGTTTTCAAACGACAAAACTCCATTAGAGTCATCCAGGACCAACGTCGTGGTTGAAAAAAGAATCGAAAATTCGAAAGCAGATATCGACCCCAACGAGTTTGTTGAATCCTGCTACACGGAAGGTCTCGACGTACTTAGCCGGATGGACATGGGTTTTAAAGGAATACACGAGGATAATGTTGACGTTTTATTACGATTTGTTGAAGGCGATAAAAAGAAAGTAAGCGAAACATTTTCCAAAGAATTTGCCCAGGCCCACAAAGAAGAATCCAAGCCAAAAACAAAAGAATTGAAGAAGAAAACGAGTCAAGTAGCAAACGAGGATGTATTGAAAATTCCTCCTTATTCTATTTCACACATGAGTATGCATAATGTTTTACTGCATCCGGAGCACGAGAATAAAGAAATAGAAATAATTGAAGACGTTCGAGACTTTACCGTTGTAGAAAGAAAGAGACACACCATTAGTAAATTACAAGTTGAAGACGAATCCCATACATCATGTTTTTTTTCCGGTGACCTATCATTCCCTGTTCAAAACCATGATTTCGTTCCTCCCGATGTTCTTCCTCCCAGCGATCCTTTTTTTTGTTCTTCAAGTTTTTTCCCGTTTCCGTGTGATCTGGTTGAAACTCACAATTTCGTTCCTTGTTTGTTAAAATCTAAATCGACTTTTGTCTTATCTGCCACTGAATATGCAGATGTATTATCCTTTTTCAAAGATTGCCCAAGTATATTATGTAACAAATTGGTTGAAGGTAAACACTCGTTTGAGTTACCGAAGTCTTGTTCAGAATTTGATATGAATATTGTCCCAGGTTCGTTGGCAAATTTTGTGTTTAGTTTAGATCCTTTTGGTTCTTATAAATTTAGTTCTGCAAATATGATTACATCCGTTTTCGGCGATGAAATTTCCTCATCTTGTCTTTTTTTTAATGATTATAATAATCTTTATATGATAGATAGGTTATCTGAATCTTTATCGAAAATCAGACCCATCCTCAACGTTACAAATGATGAATATTTTAAATTATTTTATGTCTCACCCTCCGAAGAAAGCTTTCACTTTAATGTCCATCACTTTTCTAAATCCTGTTGTATTAAAAATAATTTAGTTCGTTCGTATAAAGAGAAACAAAATGAGATTCAAAATTTGTTTTTTTCTTCTGCTTGTAATAATGATGTTCAACATAACTTGGGCGAACCATCAGTTGTCGTCATAGAATCGGAAAAATTCAATTTGAAAAACAAATCTGAGATGAATATGGCTCAAGAAAATGAAACTAAGCGCTCGTTTGATGAATTTAACCACAGTGAGAAATATGGTAATTCTGATGATAAGTCAAATGATTCCTCGTTTAAAGGAAAACAAATTACTTCTTCAATTAATCAGTGTTCGCCTTCGAAAGAATTAGATTATCAAAGTGATCATATGAATTCGGCAAAACTTGATCAGTTCAAATGTTCGGGGTTCACTTGTATTAGAAATCTAACATGTAGTTTGTCGGGATTGTCGGTTGATGAACCAAAACTATTCATTGATGACTCATATCAAAACCTTGAAAAAAAAAATGTTTCCATCAGTAGAACTTTAATTCACGACAAAAATTTACATTCAGTGATTCATAAAAAGCAAGACTTTGACAAATCTTTTTATAACACCATCAATGATATAAATGTGGGCAATGATGAAAATATCAAACTTACGAAAAAGCGGAGAAAGAAAAAGAAGAAAACGAACAATAACAGTTGCGTTGGACCATCTTCACAAGTAATAGAAACCATAACTTCAAATTTCACTCAAGCGTCCCTGACGTCGTCTTCAGTTCTCGCAAAGGCATCCACTAAAAAATTAAAAGAGAACAAAGTACGTAAAGCAATGAGAAAACTGGCAAAAGAAGAACCAGAAACGAAAAATGAAAAATTAATGTTGGTTTCTGACTCGCGGTGACACGACTGCACAATCCAGAACAAAATAAATTTAACCATGGTTCAAACAATTTTTTTTATTTTGATTGTTTTATATGCTTTAAAAGTTGTATATTACTGCCCGGTTTTCGATGACATTCTTTATGCTATGCGTGAAAATTAAACCTTGATCCATTATATCTATCTGGTTTATTGCAGTCATTTTATGCATAATTTTGAACCTTATAATCAATATTTCTCCAAAATTATGAATAAATTTGTTTATTATAATTAACGATTTCAGAATTTGACAAAATCAAATTGATTAATTATAATTCAAATTCTCATGATGTAAATGCTCGTTGCTGTATGCTTTACGATCGGTTTTTGAATCAGCAGTTTAACTCTGACTCAAATTATTTTGTTTTAAATAGCTTGCGATTACTCAATAAAACCTTCAACGATGGAACTATAATATGTCTTAATCTATTAAATGACAAAGTTTTCAGGCAGTTTGGGTTATTGGATTATAAATCAGCAAAAATTCGGATGACGATGAGTTTCAGAGGCCAACAAATTATAATGATAATATATTACTTGTTGTTAAAACACGCAAAATGACAATATTATAAAATGAAGAAAATAAACATTAAAATGGGTTGCATATGAGAATCAAGTATAGGATTATTGTGTTAAAAAATAACTAACTGGGTTAATAAATGAGGAAAAATATTTTGAAAAAATAAAATGACAAATGATTTAGTCTTAATATATTTTTGACGTGTTGGAATAAAGGTTTTATCTTATAAGGTTGATTGAGTGGTGGTTTGATGATTATATTTACATTAAAGAAGGTGGTTTTGTTGATTGGTGGAGGTAGTGGGTAGATGACATTGGTATTATTTTCCTGAATAATCTGGAATCGAGTTTGTTGAATATTTGAACGACAGTTTGATATGAAGGAAGTAATTTCTTGATGACAGATTGTGGTGGCTTAAACTGTTGCGAGTTTGAATAATTTGATACCTTTGAGGCCACATGAACTAAGTGTTTTGAGTACACGGAATGTTTTTATGCGGTCTTTGTGATGATGTTGTTTATATGAGGTTGAGTGTGGTGGTGAATCTACTGCCTAGTGATGGTTCGATATCGAAAAATCATTTGATTTCGTTTATTTTTAGGTAAAAAAAATTCGATTCGTTCGAATAGGCCCACTCAGTAATTTGCGTTTTATATAATTAAAATGATGATAAGTTTGAATGGGCTTTAAAACAAGATGATGTATTTTTGTCTTGTGCAAGTTATGGCATTTTTGGGCTTGAGTCGGTTACGTCGTTCATTTATGATTGAACCATATTTAGAGAAAATCTGCTCACTAGAAACAGACACTATTTAACTAGCCGTTTTTTTGCTTTTAAAAAAAGAGTTTATTTCAATTGTCGGTAACTTGAAAAAGCTACCGCGCAAAAAATTGTTAAAAAACTTAAATCGAATTGAACTTTTGATGATCGTACTCATACCATCATTAATGATACCTATTGCTTGTAGTTGATTCATGCGAAGTGATGATTGAATTTTCTGAAAGTCATGCTATTTCCTTACGGCTATTGTGAATGATGGAGTTCGACCGATTTACTGAGATAACGTGACAGATTGCAATGTTTCGACCATTTAGTTAATGAATAGAGTTTTGATTGATTAGTGTCGTTTACATATTTAATGATTTTATTAGTGAAGGTCCAAAGACCGATCCTTGTACTGCAATAGAATTAAGTGATAATGTGGATGGTAATTGTGGACAGAAAAAAGTCTGATGACTACTATTAGAAAGGAAATCTATAATAATATTGTTTTAACCCTTAACGCTCGTAACTAACAACACCAATGTTATAACTTCTCTATATTTTCAACACTAGTGTGTAGCTTCCAACGATCGCCAAGTATTCGTTATTCCGTAGGTTCAAAATTTCCGATAGATGAACACAACTGCTTCAAACGCAAACTTGGTTGAACGTTTATTTGAATGCCAACAGTAATAAAAACAATAAACTAATCCAAGTAACTACATAAATCACATTTTCGCTTCGCTGCGTAGTACGGTAGAAGAAGAGAAGCTAAATTATTTGAAAGAGGTAAGTGATCCGTAGTATCGAAAGATTTAGAATAGTCACGAGCGATAAAATTAACTTGATCATTATTTTTAAGAATATGTTATTGTAGAAGTAAGAGGGATGATGACGAATGAAGATGAACCTGTTGGGCGAAATGTTCATCTTCTAATTGTGGTTTGTACGGATGCAAATACTAGGGTGTGGAGATAGTAGGTATGTTTGAGGAACTTAAATTATTTACTGATAGCGCTACGTTTTAATGACTTATATAATCAACCAATCAAATAATTTATTAATAGGTCGATTCTTATAATGTTACATTCATTTTGATTCATTGTTTAATTATTGAGTTTTCAGCAATTTTGGTTAAATTTTTGAAAATGTTATTTTTAAATATTTCAACCAGATAATCTAATTCATATAAATTTACAATAATTTAATGTTGTAACTTGCATTATTGTCAAGTTATTCAATCTACCGTACCTAAGTTCACTGATTTCACTGAGAATTTTTACGGCACTTGGACCGTTTGGACGCATTTAATTTGCTCTTTAAATGTTCGATAATTCTATTGAATTTCGGTATTATTTTCTAATTTTTTTGTGATTCTCGGATATCTCCAGTCTTGAGGATTGCATAGAAGTCATTTTTCGGTGAATGTGACTTGTGGTTCTTTTTTTGCGAATTTTCTTAATTCTCATTTTTTATTATTGAAAATTTATAGTAAAATAGTCACATCGGCACTATACATCGCGTATATATATGTGTGTGTATACATAACATAATAGTACATGTAGTGCATTACTATGGTTGTTTTAAAACGTTATAAACATTACATTTGCAATTTTTTTATAGGAATTTGAATTACCTAGTCGGAAAATTGTGGGTAGTTTATGGTAGTTGCTATTTTTCCATTAAAAGCTTTTTTTCTAAATTATTTTCAGTAATTTCTTTTCGAATTGATACATAATAAATATTATTATAAAACACATACATAAACCATCTTAGTATATTTTTTTCTAACATATGCATACACCAACACACACTACAACTTGTGTATTTCTTTCTGTTGTATATTTAACAATTATTGTTATACATCCATGCATTTATCTTTTTTTTAAACATTTCTAACAACCTGTAGTTGCACATAATCCAGGTGCACTGTTTACTTTCGTTTACTCTATTTTCTACAATTAATGTGCCAGCTAGAACATCAACATCTTCCACTATAATTGATGTTTTTTTTACAAACAATCTAAATTGCTTTCAAAGTGGAACGGTCTTATCAAATGTATCGGATCGTTTCCCATTGTTTATGACGTCTCCTTTATTGTGCGAATTTTGTGAGGAGGTTGTGTGGTTTTGTTTTTCAACACGTGTGTGAAGAATTTGGACAAGCTGAATATCGCACTGGCGTCGCAGGATTGGCCAGTTGTGTTCTTTGAGAAAAAGTTTGGTCTGACTTTCCAAAAGTTTCTGAAAATTTTTGATGACCTGTTCTGCTATTTTTGCCCATTTACAACAGAAAAATTTTAAAAATCATTTCAACCGTGGATCACGAACGATATCAAAAAACTTATAATTAAAACAATCGTCTATATAAGTTATATAAGAAAAATGAAACCTTTCAAAATAAAACCAAATATCGTTTTTTTAAAAACGAAATTATTAATACAATTACACTAACAAAATCACACTACTATAAAGATATATTTAACAGACCTAATTCCAATAGTAAAGACAAATGGAATACTATAAACTTTTTCTGAATAAAAAGTCCAGATTAAATAATTTTACGTTATTAAAAGATAATACAATTGTAAAATTGCGAATATTTTTAATAATTACTTTACAGATATATTTAGCAAAAATTCGTCTACAAATAATTATTTTTTTTAATTTCTATAAACAGAAAATACATCCTCAATTTTTTTATCACCAACCTGTCCAGAGGAAATTTTTTAAATAATTAAATCGTTGTCTACTCATCAAGTTTAGATCACTATAAGTGTTCCAATAAAGTTTTGAAATATATTATCAATTCGATTTGTCATATTTTATCATATTTATTCAATTTATCACTTGCTTCCGGAGTATTTCCAGAATAACTTAACATCGCGCGAGTTGTTTCAATCCATAAGTCAGAATCCACTAATAATGTCAATAATTATGAACCAAGTAGTTTGTTAAGTTATATTTCAAAAGTCCTTGAAAGAATTGTTGAAACGAGACTCAAATCTTTTATAAATGATAACCATATTTTGTCGGACACCCAATTTGGTTTTCGCAAAATTGCTCGACAGAAGACGCACTTAATAAGCTATTTAATGAAGTGGTTTTTAATTACGAATCAAATAATTTTATCTCAATAGTTTTTCTAGATTTTTTTAAGGCCTTTGATTCGGTTCCGCACGACATACTTTGGCTCATGTTGAAACATTATGGAGTTAGGCACCGCTCTAAAATGGTTCGATGGCTACCTTGCTAACAGGCATCAATATGTTTCAATAAATGGCTTCAACTCTAGTATTCGTGAGGTCAAAAGTGGGGTACCGCAGGGAAGTATACTAGGAGGGCTTAAATTGTTTAACCTTTATAATAATGATATTGTTAACACAACAAAGTTGTCGAAATTTATCATCTATGCTGATGACACGGCGTTATTCACCACCTACGAATACACAAGAATACGAAAGACTTATATGCATACACAAATAATAGTTTAAATGAATTAAATACCTGGTAAAATTACAATAAGATTAATATAAATATAAAAAAAACTAAATATATGATTTTTAATAGATCACTTATTAAGGATGACGAATTTCTCTTAAAGATAGGAAATTCTGAAATTGAAATTATTAGGGGATTTAATAGATCAAAATCTAAATTTTAAAAAACATATCGATTTTATCATACAAAAAATAAATAGAAACTTAGGAGTTATGAACAAAGTCAAATATCTTTTACCAAACAAAGCATTTATCTACCCACATTTATATTATGCAAACCTAATATAGGGCAACACATTTAAAATTTATTAAGAATTGCTTTATACTGCACAAAAAAAGCATTGACAATTTTAAATTTTAGACACAATGTGGACAAAAAAAACATGTTTAATTAGCTCCAAATTTTATCAATTTTTGAAATTAATGATTTTTTTATTTTTTTTTTATTATTCTTTAAAAATCAGGATCTGACAGACGCAGAAACTGTAACAACATGCAAGGCAGTAAAACAAAATTAAACAAATAAGTGAGAAAATAAATACAAAAAGTGAGGAAGAGAAATGATAAAACATGAAAAATAAAATATGTTAGAATAAAATAAATAATAATAATAAGAAAAATAAAAGAAAAGTAATTGACGATAGAATATAAAATGAAGTAACGGCAAATTGATAGACTAGATGATGACTTAGTGAGGTGATCGATAAATAAAAACTAGGCCTGTGAGTGAAAAAATTTTAATGAGTATTAATATGTTTGATGACTTATTAATAGACTAAATGATGACTTAGTGAGTTAGTGAGGTGATCGATAAAAGTGAGGTGATCAATAAGTAACAACTAGTTCAGTAATGATAAAGTTTTCTTAAGTGCTAATATGTTTGAGATGCGATGTGATGAAAGTCTTTTCCTGGTATGTAGATTGGGCGACGACTTGATAGTTATGTTTGCGCTGACGAAGGTTGTGTGTTGTAGCTTTGATTGGTTGTAGTAGAGGATGGATGATGTGGTTGTTGTTATTTTCTATTTTTTTGAACAGCCTTGAATCGAGTGTGTTGAATATCTGGGTGACGGTAGGATATGATGCAGGTAGGTAGTTGAAGGGAATTAGTTTTTTGATGAGAGATTGTAGCTGCTGAAGTTGTTGTTGCGTGGCAAAACCAGACCAGGAGGGAGCTGCATATTTGATGCGTAAGATGATGAGTGATTCGGTGATGTCGAATAATTTGATGCCTCTGAGACCATGTGAACGGAGTGTTTTGAGTGCGTGAAATGTTTGAAAGCCTTTTGTGATGATGTAATTGATATGAGGTGCTATATTGAGTGTAGGGGTGAATGTGATGCCTAATATTTTTAGTTGATTTGTGCGAGTGATTGATGGGTGTTCAGGAGGTAATGTTATTTTTTTACGGCTATGGTGAATGATGAGTTCGAATGATTTATTGAGATTAAGTGAAAGGTTGCATCGTTTTGACCATGTGGTTAATGAGTCGAGTTCTGATTGGATGGTGTTTGAGTTAGGTGATGGAATGATTAGGTAGGTGTCGTAAGCGTATTTGAGGATTTGATTTTAAGGCATGCTGTTTTACATTTAAAATTAACAAAAATTTGTTGAGTACATTGGACGTGCATCTAAATGACTCTTTTAAATATGACACAAAAATAAATACGCCATTGAACTGCGAAAATAAATAAAAAGTTTCTGTCACAAAAGTAAGTTGCTCGTCCTATGTTAGGTCGTGCATAATCAATCGCCCATTCAAATATAATGCCTCTCATAATGTATAATTGATTTTTTTTATAATTGATTTTTTTTTGTCTGATTCTTTTACACTATTGATCAATTTAATTTTTTCTTAAAAGGTGTATATTACTATATTTACGTATGCATTTTTTGTATGTACGTGTACGTATGCACGTGTGTGTGTACATTTTTCTTGTATGTCAACGATCATGATCTTAGTTGTTTTTGTTATTTTATTATTATTTTCAGTAGTTTTAATTTAATATTAATTCTAATTAATTTGATTTTTATTCTTTTCCGACAATGTATAGCATAATTATTTTTTTATTTAGTTTTTTACGCAATTTTCAATTGTAATTTATTGTTGATTCTAAAGGATTCGGTTTTATTACCATTCATGCTCTATTTGGACTTATACACTTGTATGTATGTATGTATGTATGTATGTATGTATGTATGTATGTATGTATGTATGTATGTATGTATGTATGTATGTATGTATGTATGTATGTATTATTATTATTATTATTACTATTATTATTATTATTATTATTATTATTAGAAAACTTAATTTAGCGTTCGTCATAGCAGTTTTCACAAACGCTATTAAATTATAACTAATATTAATAACAAAATAGCAAGAATGAAAAGAGATGAACTATAATGAAAAAAGGTATGTCTTTAATTGTCTTTTAAATTCAGCAATGTTCATTCCAGGCATTCTGAGGGCTGACGGCAAGCCGTTCCATACGACAGGGCCTGACACAGCAAAATCACGCGATCCAATCTTTAGCTGTCTATGAGGAACCACAAGAATGTCAGACCTCAGACGCACACCAGATGCGATCGACGTTTTTAATTTCAGTTTATCTGATAAATATTTTGGAGCCAGACCATTTAGTGATTTGAAAACTGTGACAGAGATTTTAAAATCAATTCTTTTATTTATGGGCAACCAATGCAAATCACTCAGGATCGGTGTGGCATGATCATACCATCCAGCCACAATCCAGGCAGTACGGTTTTGTATCGATTGCAGAATTTTGATGGATCTAGCCGGGAGTCCATAAAATAAACTATTGCAATAATCGACACGTGAGTGCACCAATGCATGCGCCAGAGTCTGCATTGCGTCTTTATCAAGTGATTCTCGAATTTGTTTCATTCTTCTAATCTGTGCCAAGCATGATATAGAGATCATTTTTAAATGAGATTTCATTGTTAGGTTTGAATCAATTACAAAACCTAGGTTCGACACTGCTTTACAGAAATCTATTTTTTTATCATTCATAACAACTGAATTTATATCCAAGTCTGCCAACTGCTGCCAGGTACCAATAGGAAGAAATTTTGTTTTACCCTGGTTAAGCTTCAATTCATTTCTCGACATTCACAGATTAACCTCCGCCATACATTCAATGAATCTCGTAATCTCGTCTTGAAATAACTTCGGTTTACCTGATAACATAATTTGAATGTCGTCTGCATATGCATGGCTTTTAAAATCATAGGAATCAATTATCTTCAGCACATCAGATGTATAAAGCAGAAACAATAAAGAACCCAAAACAGATCTCTGCGGCACACCAGAGCGAACCACACTGACGTAGGACAAACTCCCGTTGAACGAAACCTGCTGTGTTCGGCCAATCAAGTAGCTTCTGAGCCAATTTATTATTTCCCCAGATATTCCAAGATTTTGATGTAGCCTGAGCAGTAGCATTTTATGATTGACACAGTCGAAAGCCGAGCTCATGTCTAAAAATGCCAACAAGGAAATGTTTTGAGCATCCATCTCAGCATAAACCCCCAAGAAAACATGTAGCAGGGCAGTTTCTGTGGAGTGAAATCGTCTAAAACCGGATTGATGTGCAGGCATGAGATTATTATCATTCAAATGAGCAAGCAATTGTCTCGACACCATCCTTTCAATGAGTTTTGATATAAATGATAGATTACTGACTGGTCGATAATTAAGGGCCAATATCCATTCATTTTTATCAGACAATTTACAATTTTTTCTAAAAAATTTTTCTTTTATTCTAGATTTCCGTTTTGAAGCCTTGCAATCATCATCAAACCATGGTGCAACATGATGGCGCCCAGGCAGCACAAGTACAAGAGGAACAACCCTATCAACAATTCTCCTTACCTCGTCACTGAATAAACCAAATTCTGCATTTACATCATCAGTTTTACACGGTCTGGACACTGGAGACTCAAGTACCTGCTCAGCGAAAGCTTTCTCATCAAAACGATTCCAGAGTCGGATCAATCTTTTTGCTTTTAAAGACTTTGTCAATTTTATTGATAAACTAACCTGTACCAAACCATGATCAGAATAGATTCCACTAGGATAAACCTTTGCTTCACTGACCGCTATATTGTGTGACGTCACAATCAGATCGAGCGTTCCTCCTAGAATATGCGTTGGTTCATCTATGTGGTTGATCAACTGAAACATTTCAAATATTTCACGTAAATTAACAACGTTTGGATTGTTCGACTTCTCCGTGTGAATGTTAAAATCTCCCGCTAACAAAATACGGGAACTAATGATTGTAACACATTCTAAGACCGAAATCAGTTCATCAAAAAATGATGTCGTTAATTGTTCAGATCCAGGTCTGTAAATTGCCAGTAGGATATAATCTAATTCATTAATTTTAAGTTTCACCGCCAGAACCTCGAAAGCAGTAACCAGTGGCAGAGTGATCTTTTTATATCTAAAAATTGATCGGAAAAAAATGATTAAACCTCCATGGTGTGGGTCGTGCAATCTTAAACGGTCTACAAACTGATAGCCAGGTGACATTGATAACCCAATGGAAATATTATCTGCCAAACCATGCCAGCTCTCCGTCAAAACAAAGATGTCCAGGCCTTCGTGAATCAAACCATAAATAGAGCTGAATTTTGTTATTATATAGATCTGATATTTAAAACTCCCAGAACCACCGATCGCTCCTCATTTCCAATTTTAGCAGGCTTACTTTTACCAGATGCTTCATTAAAACTTTCGTTGATTTTATCATCCTCAACATACTGAAATTTACCTATTGCATTTTTATTGTTACACTCCCTTTCACCACACCCATCAAGACTTGAGATTTTATATTGACACTTACCATAATGGCTTTTATTATTTGCAAATCTAAAACAACTTTCAACGTTTACTCCATCAAAATCAATATCATCAACGCTACCATCAGTGCCATCTCTCTCAATCAAACTTTTTCTTTCAGTTTTTGATCCCTCCGAAACTTGACTATTTTCCATCTTCCCGGAGGTCCCCTCACTCTGAATAAAAAATCATCGCTTACAGATTCCTGATTTTTTGCATCATTGATCAATTTTTTCAGCTCATCTCTCTGATCATTTGATATGTCGTGACTAAGCCAAACACCTTTTAGGACATCATCCAAAGATTTCATTTGTGACACATTATCCATTATTAAGTTTTTCGACTCAACACTATCAAGACTTATCAATAACGGTCTGTTTATTTTTTCTTGTTTTTTCCCCAGTCTCGTTACTTTAACAACTGCTTTCTCGGCAACTTCGTTTCGAGTCAAGTGATTAAAAATCTTCATAACACGTTCTTTGTCGTCGTCTCCTTCAGCAAGTCTAAAAAGCACCAAATTTTTTTCTCTCTCCTTGATATCTGTTGCATCATTCAACTTTTTTTGCACATTCTTGACTTCAACGTTAATTACATCAATGTTTTTTTAACCTCTTTGCTTACTATATCGGTCCATGATGTACTGACTCCACCACTGCCAGTACGCATCTCATCAACAGCATGATTAATGTTGCTTAATATTTCATCATTCAATTTTACTGCACATCAGATATTCCGGAGCTCCGATTCTATGATTTTACTGGCATCTATCAACCCATCAATTTTAATCATCAATTCCTGTTTACTTCTGTCAACTGCCCTCGCAAGCAGATCCGTGTCTATTTCCGCTTATGACTTGGTGTCTGGAGAAACATTGTTACATGTATCACAAAACCACTTGAAATTATTATACTCCTAAATAAAACAGTACACATCATCAGGTATTAACGTAAGATTTGAAACACAACCGCAACGAAAACGGCTGAAGTTTTTCAACGAATCTGACTTTGTTTTTGCACGTATACTCATTTCAAGTTTAATTGTTTACAAAAGTTGCTATAAAGTCTGTAAGAAATCAAAAACAGAAAAACACAAAGTAAACAAACAAACACAACTAGTAGAAAACAATCCTATTTGTACCAACAACTTCAACTTTATAACTACGCTTATTTAAATTAGGTTTTCCATTAAATTAAAGCAAATAACATAAATTAAAGTAAAATTAACAAATAATAATTTTGATAAAAAATATATAAACTTGTTTGTCTAAATTTCCTCTATTATATGCAACTAAATTTAATTAAATCACTATATGAAAATTCTATATAATCAAGAAAAACACGGAGCAGAAACGAAACCAGCAGAAACTCGCTCCTTTATTTAAAATGTGTATATGTATGTATGTATGTATGTATGTGTGTGTGTGTGTGTGTGTGTGTGTGTGTGTGTGTGTGTGTGTGTGTGTGTGTATGTATGTATGTATGTATGTATGTATGTATGTATGTATGTATGTATGTATGTATGTATGTATGTATGTATGTATGTATGTATGTATGTATGTATGTATGTATGTATGTATGTATGTATGTATGTATGTATGTATGTATGTATGTATGTATGTATGTATGTATGTATGTATGTATGTATGTATGTATGTATGTATGTATGTATGTATGTATGTATGTATGTATGTATGTATGTATGTATGTATGTATGTATGTATGTATGTATGTATGTATGTATGTATGTATGTATGTATGTATGTATGTAAGTATGTATGTATGTATGTATGTATGTATGTATGTATGTATGTATGTATGTATGTATGTATGTATGTATGTATGTATGTATGTATGTATGTATGTATGTATGTATGTATGTATGTATGTATGTATGTATGTATGAACCCGTTTTGATGAACAAGCCATGGTTAGGCATGCAATCGTTTCCGAGTTCAACTTTTATCTATGTCCCTGGTCTCGCACAGTCAGGTATCTAGCAGCTCCATCCAGAATGCAAAAGGAATTTATGTATGTATGTATGTATGTATGTATGTATGTATGTATGTATGTATGTATGTATGTATGTATGTATGTATGTATGTATGTATGTATGTATGTATGTATGTATGTATGTATGTATGTATGTATGTATGTATGTATGTATGTATGTATGTATGTATGTATGTATGTATGTATGTATGTATGTATGTATGTATGTATTATGTATGTATGCATGTAGAAACTCGAACATAACGAGCGTTCAGCGAGTCTTCAGAGGAAGAATTTCCGCCAACGAGTGTTTCGGCCCTTTAACTTCCTGACACTCTCGAGAAACAGGCCACATCCTGTGATCAGCTGGATGTCTCTCGCTTTGAAATCACCTCCTTTTATACCGTAAAATTTGTAGGCGTGCCAGAAAGTTTGCATATCAACATATCACAATGTGAGTTATATCGACGAGCCAAGTAACACGTTGAGCTGAATATGGGATTGTTGAATAATCGGAAGCTTTACGCGCAAACAAGCTCGTCTGTTTACTATTTAAGCTCGCATTCCTTTTTCTTCCAACATAACCATATCCAGTAAGATGCTTGTTTGGCTGTGAGTCCTTCAAACAATTGATCGTCTTTTACCTATCAAACCCACATCCTTCAAAAAGCTGTACACTGAACAACCAACAACACCTCTTGCACCAACCTCAACTGCGTACAACAAACACCTTAGCCCGCGTTGTTTTATCTCACTAACAAGCTCTTCATACTTGGCTGTTTTTATAGCGTGACTTGCTGCTATATTAGCCTCATACGGTACAGTCAGTTCGACCAGAACAACAGTGTCTGCCGACACCGACTGCACCGCCACGTAGGATCTCGCTCTTTTATTAAAAATGTGTATATGTATTTGTGTATATATGTATATTTTTTTCAACGTACAATATTTTAATTTTATTGGTTTATTTTTTCTTCACAATTTTTGAGACGTAATGTTGTTTGTTACTAATTTAATTCTTTATATTGATTTAGACATTTTTATGAAAAACTGTAGGGTTCTTATATATTTGAGATTTTATCTTGTTTAGGGTCCTTTTTCATGTTTCGTTTTTTTATGCGTTTCATGGAATAAACTTGTTAAAAAAATCTGATAGATAAACACAGCTGCTTCAAACACAGACTTGTTTGAACGTTTATTCAAATGCCCACAATAATAAAGACCATGAATTATTTGCTAATCACATAAATTCGCTGGGAGTCTCACGATCGACAACTCTCAATGGTCGTAAATAATGGTGACACAGAAATTTACAATCACAGAAAATAAAACAAAAAATAAATAATAATTCCATAATTTTATCGCAGTCGTTTTTTGCCGAATACAAAATTACTTCCTCCTTAGATTGTTAAGTCTTTTTAAAAATCAGTGTCATTTTCTTCGTGGAAAGAAGCTAGCCGGTCTGCGTGAACGACTTTCAATCTTTATTCTTGCTCTTCCGGGCAGAGGCGGCCCTAGTGGGGTGCGGGGCCTAGTAGTATAAGTTGGGAGTGCGAAGCGAGCCATAACAAACGAACGAGGAAAACAATAATTTACATAAAATTACTGGGGTATAACGAAATAAAAATAAATTATTACATTTTACAGGTTTATTTCTGGACAAATTGGTAATATATAAATGCAGAAAAAAATTATTTAAATGATTTGACTTGTTTAACTACAATACAATAATTTAACTACAATAATGTTCATGAGATAATCACAGCCGAAAATCCACTTGCCTTGCCTAGTTGACAAATTCTTGAATCAATTCTTTGTAGTCTAAATGTAGAAGCAAATTTTTCTTTTAAGGATAACATAGCTAGACCACACAATCTTTTCTGATGCATTGTAGATCGGCGATAATATTTTATCAATTTGAGTTTTGAAAAACCTCGCTCAGCCGTAGCTACAGTGACTGGTACAGTTAAGAGAATTTTGTAAGCTATGGCAGCATTTGGGAAAAAATCTGCTAGATGTGCAAAAGATTCCAGACAATCTAAACCAATATTTGTTTCTTTAGGAATCAATTTTCTTAACACTTTCAGTTCGTCAAATAAATCTGAGCCATCCAAATCTCTCGAATCATCAACGTTTGTTAAAACCGATACAAGACACTATGCATTGTGTTTTCAGATTTTCTACAGTCATTTCACGAAGAAGTTGAATGTTAAGCAAAAATTCAAAGTTGCTGGAATATTCTTCCAACTGATGGAAACGATTTTTTAGAGATTCTAAAGCTTCATCAACAATCCATAAAAAGTATTCCGTTTTGAAAGCATTTTCAGGAGTGTTCTGGAATTTATCGTCTACAGATTCGTAATCCGGCAGATTTTTTTTGTAATAATTCGCTTCTTTTTAAATATTGGTTCATAACTGATGCAATTTCTTTTGCGCTGACCAATGCTGATGAAAATCCAGATTCTCTGTAATTGGTAAAAAACCCAATCAGCCCTTTAATTTGTTTTATGGCTGTGTCAAGCTACATGTTTGAAACATGAAAACATTTGTTGAAGATGTTGACAGCAAATAGCACGTCATACCATACTACCATTGCAACCAGAAACTCTAAATTTCCTAATTCGTGGTTGGCAATGGATTCGGCTTCACTTTTCACCTTGGGGTCTTTAGCCGTTTCAGAAACTTTTTTGAGGGTGTCGCGAA